GATGGATGGAGCTGCCATCATCTGAAGACTCCCCTAGAGCTAAAGGATACATTTCCAAGATAGCTGATTCGCGTGGCTGTTGGCAGAAGGCCTCTCAGTTCCTCTGAGTGATCCAAAAGAGTGAGACAGAAACTGCAATGCCTTTTATGATCTAGCCTCAGAAGTCACACAATGTCATTTCTGCAGCTTCCTATGGTTACTCAAGCTATTCCTAATCAGTCTAGGAAGGGACTACACAGAGCATCAGGAGATAAGGTCATTCAAACCATTTTGGAGGCTGGAAACCCAAACTTTCCTGTGACCCCCCACAATGACATGGTAAGGGGAAGGTTAGAAGCTCTAGACAACTACAGAACTAATAAGAACACTTAAGAATGAGGGCCCAGGAATCAAGTAATAAGCTATAAAGGTGAGATGAAAATCCAACAACCAGAGTCCAGGGTGTACCCCATCCAGTCCAGTCCATATTTATTGGGCTTGGCCCCAAGAAAGAGATGGGGCCTGATTCTGGGAATGAAAGGAGAGCCATCTGCAGATTAACATATTTTGTTGGGCTGAAATCGAGAGTTCCTTGTAAGAAGAGGAGAGAAGACGGTGAATGCCAGAGGTTATCCCCTAGGGAAACCTGAAGGAGACTGAGGTATCTATCGCTGCAGTCCCACATCTCAGGAAGGTGATGCTGGGGGGCTAGAACACACATGTTCTGAAAGCATGCCTGTCATTTCCGCTAGTGTTTAGTCCAGCACCTCTATCTTCTTCAAACTCCTCCCAGCACTCTGCTTAGTCTCAGGAGGGCTGTTACGAATCGATGCCATTTTAGGAAGATCTGTAATAATGATAGGCCCTAGTATGCAGAGCACTTTATAGTTTCCAAGGTACTTTCATGGACATTTTCTCTTCTGAGCCTCACCACAGTGAGATAATAAGGTAGGTGTTACCGTCCTCATTTTATAGGCTGAGAAACTGGAAATTACAGAGCTTGTGACTTGCGTAAGCCATACATCTAATAAGAAGCTTGTTTGCTGACATCAAGTCCAGTGCTTTTTTAATGTATCATGTCTTACATACCATTAGTGTCAGGTTATTGTCAGTTTCTGACTTGGTATTACTGTTATTTGTTAAAAAATAACTATTTTGAATAGAATTCCTTTATGACTTTCATTAAGCAGGGCTGTGTCTTACTGTGCAGATGGGCACACCCAGTGCTAAGTTACTAGAGCTATTGGATATTCAGGTCATTTAAATCACTGCTCTTTATCTGGTTCTGTGCACACCAAGCAGTCTTTTGATCATTTTGTTACTTATTGTCCTCTTTCTTGCTGAACTATCATCTAGGGTCCTAATTCTTGGGCCTTAGGTCTGGTTTTGGGGGGCTCCAGGATATATCTTTGCCCCACAAAAGCCCTCCAGATAATTGCACTAGTACTATGTCCCTCAAATCTCGCTTCCTTGAGTGAAACAGCTCCAGCGCCTTCAGTGCATTATTTGGAGATCCCCTCAGCCTGTGACACACAGGAACTGAAGCAGATCTTGTCAAAAATCTCATCCTCTGTTGGCTTTTTTTGTTTCTTATATTGCAAATCCCTGGGGAGCTACAAAAATTGCTCTAGAAAAAAAAAACAATATAAACCAGACTAATTGGCAGCCCATCAGAGGTTGCTGTCTGGCCAGTTTCTCACAAGATAATAGAAAAAAAGGGAGTGAAAAAGATAAGACTATTTTATACCTTAAGATTCTTCCATGCTAATAAATGTCCTGCTAAAATATTACTTGCTGTGTCATGGACAGGACATTTTTTTTCTTTGAGTTTTCATATGAACTCAAGTAACATGGTTCTTTTTCTGGTGTCTGTTTCCTAAACTTTATGAAAATAGGTCAAGTTTATAACACAACTACCATGAAGATTAAAGATCTTCAACTCCCTGTAATCATTAATTGGAGAAAAAAACACTTAAATCTCAGGACAACTATGGAGCCTAAGAGTTTAGGACTAAAAGCTGTATTGGAAACTGGTTTAAAATGCTGTTAATGGTGACTTTGATGTGATCTTACCAGTTTCTTCATATAATCCAATTCATTTTTTAAATGATAGAAGATTAAATGAAATTTTCAAAAAATTACCATCACTGAAATGAATTTTACAGGGAAAGGTAAAGCAGCTGAGTTCCTGCTCAGCTCTCTTTATCATTTACCCTACAGCCTTAGGCAAATCACTTAACTCTTTCCCTCTGTTTCCTAATCTACCAAATAAAAATATCATTCTTCGTAAAATGAGATTCCATCAAACACTTCGACTATGGGCAGTGGTCCTGAACCTTTTCCCCAGAGAGACCCATAAGTGTGCGATCAGGTTCTACTCTCTGGAGCTGTATCTCTCTCTCTCTCTCTCTCTCTCTCTCTCTCTCTCTATATGTGTGTGTGTGTGTGTGTGTATGTGTGTGTACGTGACCACGGGCATGCACACGCACTCTACTGTTGTGTTTTTGTCTTAAAAAGGATGCAGGTTATGAATCATTCCCAGCTGTTAGTCCCATCCCCATCCCTCAAAGATCACTACTTCTATACTAAGAACTGCAGCTCTGGAGAATGGCACAATTTTTAGCAGAATGTCACCTGAAGTGTTTTTTTTTTTAATGCAAAATGCCTCTCAATTAAAAAAAATTAATTTACTTCTATTCATAAGCCATAGGTCTAGTTATATATTCCACTGATTCTATTCTTTCTCTCAAATCTGCTTAGTTCTACCAAAATGAAAAAACGCACCCTATCCCAGCAAACCTCTCCCTCCAAAGAAGTTTTCAGAAGGAAGAGCTGGGGTGGGGGTGAAAAAAATAAACAAACTGCTGTGTCCCCTGTTTGTCCTGTGGCCATCTTTGTTGGAGGCCCAGAAAGGTCTGCCATGACAAGGTTTGCCCAGGGGCTGATTGTACAGAGGCTTATCATCATTAGAAGGAAAGAGGTTTGATTTCCTAAAACTTAAGTGAAATAAACTGCTCAAATAACAGTCTAATTTATCACTTCAAAGTCCCCTTAATGGCACTGAAATCCATGTAGATGCCAAGTCAGACAACCACACCATGTGTCTGCCCAAAGGACCAATATTCTAAAGCTGTTCTTTTCATCAGTGCTAGTAAGAGGAGCCACACTTCCTCTGCCTGCCACGACCAAGGCTGTTAGATCAATTAGCAGCATTTCACCTACACAGATGCTTCCACCTTCTTCAGAAAAGCAGCCCTCTCCCAGACAGATCTCACTGAAGTGGCACCTGCAGTGGCCATAGGCATCTCAGGCACCATTGACTGCAGGACTCAGTGTCAGCACTTGCAGAACATGTAACAAAACCAGAGTCAAATAAAGACAGTAGAACAGGCAGCAACTAGCACTGGCCACTCTCTGTGAGAAGGGTCTCTGTGGGAACCCATTAGATAAGCAGTCTGGGGCCCCAGATCAGAGACTTCAGCTCACAGGAAGAAAGGCCTATGGGAAGGGAGGTTAACAAATTGACATGGCTTTATATCAGTATAACCCAAGTATCTATCCTCTAGGTCTTCCCAGCCCCTTGAAATGGAAATAAGCTTTGCTTCAAATTCCAGTCTGTGGAAATCTGAATTCTATGACTTCCTGGGGGCTTAGGGTCTCTGCCTCAGCTCTTGCTCCCAGGAGATTAGCTCTGCAACTGTCAAGCTGCTTACAAAAAACCATGTATGAGCATGGAAGATCTTATGAAAAGTTGGTATCATTGGGAGGACTACATTTCATATCCCATGGAGGCATAGTCAGCGGTCCACATAAGACTTTCCGATTTTCCTAAGACTTCTATGAGCAAGGTGTGGTTAGAGGGCTGGCTGCACCTGAGAACCCAGGGTACTTGTTAGAGATGCAGACGCTCAGCTCCACCCAGACTGGCTACCTCAGACCTGAGTTTTAATAAGGTCTCAGGAGATTCAGTTTATTAAATTGTGAGGATCTAAAGTCCTTTTCTATCACCTCACCTCACCTCAAAAAGGATTCTCTTTGCCCTGACCCTTGCGCTGTGAGCTTTTGGTCTCTCATCTTCTCTCTTCTCTTTCTTCCCCTTTTCTTCTCTCTTTTGTTCTATCATCCCCTCTCTCCTTGGAACAAGCTACAAAGGCTTTGTCTCATGACAGAGCAACCCTCTTCTGTGAAACCTCAGAGTCATTCATCACCTAGGCCCTGACGGTCTCACTTCTACCCGAGCTTATTAAAGGATCTGTTTAAACAAATCTCCCACAAGGAACTCTGCTACCAAAAATCTCTTCATCTCTTTTCAACGTATATCATGGCTTTTATAAAGAAATCTAGTTTCCAGGCAGACCCCTAAATCAATCCAGGATTATAAACTAGCATATTTAGATCTGGGGAAACTGAGTCTTTGACAGAATAGTGACTAAGTTAAAGTCATTTTGTGGTCATTGGCAGAAGCAGGACCTGAGACGATCTTGTATTTCCCAGTGCAAGCTTCTCTCCACTCTACACTAATCAGATGCTCTCCCTGAGCAATAACTGAATCATTTGGGTAGCAACTATTTCGTAAGTCCTCATTTAACATAAACATCAGGGCCTCCCTGGTAGTGCAAGGGGTTAAGCATCAGCACTACAAAGCTATCTACAGCCACTGCAGCACGAGTTCAATCCCTGACCAGGGAGGTGACCCACATGCACAGCAGACCTCTCCTGCCTCGCCCTCTGCTCCCCTCAGCAGTGTATTTCAGTAGATCCGCCTGTTCTGCTCCCTACTCTGTTCCTGGTGAATCCTCTCACCTCCCCGCACCTCTGGCCTGTACCCCAGTTCTTGTAAGATTCTTTTCAGCTCCGTTATCTTTTGAAACTATAAGGCCTGGAGAAAGATTGGAAATTGTGAATCTCTAAATTCCTATTGTCATATAGAGAGCATCTCTTAACATTTATATCTCACCCAGGAACACTTGTACAGGGGACACTCTAAATTTTACCCCATTTTTGTTGACTTTTTTTTTCAGGAAGCGGGAGGAAGAAAACAAGCGAAGGGAAGCAGAACAGCACAAGGGGAGGCTGAGCCCAGATTCCTGCAGGCCCCAAATCCCTCCCCGTGTGCCTGGCACCCAGGATGAGCCCCACAGACAGAGCTGTGCCTCCAGCAACACTGCCCAGGGCTGCGAGAGGAGAGCCTGCAGAGAGTGTCCAAGCAGAGGATCCCCAAGTAGTGTTCCCCAGAAGGAGCAGCATCTTTCTCCAGATGTGCAGGGAACAGACCCCAGAAAGTCCAGTGGTAGGTGTATCACCTTTATTATCTAATGCCAACTCATGGGCTGTGAGCTCTTTTAATTAGTGTATTTAGACCATTGATGTGTGAGATGATTATGTTATCGCTTAAGTTTGCCATTGCATTACTTATTTTTCATTTATTTTAGATAAAATAAATCAGATATTGCCATTCCCATTGCTCTTTTCTTCTCTTCTTGGGACATCTTTTAGGATTCCAACTTGAGGAATTTACAGTTTTTTTGAGCGTATCTCTTTCCATCATTTTTGTGCTGGTTGCTGAGTATTTTAATATATGATGTGACTTGTAATAGTCTAGAATCAACATTTAAAACTTTAAGTGAAATGTAGCAACCATACCTCCATTTAGGAACCTTTACCCTCTCCACTTTTAAATATTGCTTGGGTATCAGGTGGCATTATAATTTTTGTTTCAATTATCAAATGTAATTTATAAAACTCATGAGAAGGGCCTTCCCTGGTGGTGCAGCCATTGAGCGCTGGGCTGCAATGCTGCCCACTTCCTCTGCAGCACTGGTTCAATCCCCGGCCACTGGCGAGGTGTGCAGACCTCTCCTGCTGCACCCTTTGCTCCCCTCAGCAGTGTATTTCGTCAGTCTGCCTGCTCTGTTCCCCGCTCTGGCTCTGGTGAATTCTCTCACTGTCCTGTGCTTCTGATTGTACCCAGTGCTTGTATAAATAAATAAATAAATAAATAAAGAAATAAAGAAATAAAGAAATAAATAAATAAATAAATAAATTGTTTAAAACAAAAAAGAAAAAACCTCCGGAGAAGTCCATGAGGGGTCTATGGTAAAGGACTGTGGGTGCGTGGATGGTAGGGGGAGGTAGCATACATCTGAGAAGTTTAAACACATTCCCCTAAATCATATATGTATAGTGTCATAAACCACATTGAGGTAATCTCAATAAAGTGAAAAAAAAAAGAGAGGTCATAGTTGCTTCGGCTGATCAGTACACAGGCCATGTAGACCTTGAGTTGAGTCCCAGAAGGAACCAAAGATGAAAAATACTGGCCTCTTCTTTTTCTCCTTCACCTTTCATAAATGAATGAGAAATCAATAAATTAGATTTTAAAAAAAGTTAATGTGCATCACCAAAAAAAAAAAAAATTAAAAACTGAGAGAAGAACAAAGAAGAAAAAAAGTCCCCTTAATCTCAAACATCAGTTATCTATCTCTTTGGTACATAACTTCTAATTCTTTTTTCTAATTCAGAAAATTGTGGTTATCTTGTTCTGAGGTCTTACATCATTTCTTTCTTCAGCAACAAATGTTAGAAACTACTTAGCATTATATCAAATTATACATATGATTGTTTAATCATGTCTGTGTTTTGAGACATACAAACTAAATAGCCTTACACAGAAATTTTTATGTACATCTCTAATTTTTATGACTCTTTAAACATGAGCCCAAATTTTATTCCAGGAAGATTGCAGAAGGCTCTCACCCTCTAAAAAGTAAAAAATATTTAGGCATAAAATGCGTTTAGGCAAATAATGATTTTACTAAATTGACAGGATGAGATTTTGTTCTATTTTTATTGGCTTTGTCAATTTATTTTCTGGTTTCTTCACTGATGCCCTCTGTCAATTTTTATATTGGTTGGTTGATTTTCTTAATATTGCTAAAAGCTTTTGTAAAATAAGTATAGTAAACTTTGTCTATCATATGTATCTGACCACTGAACAAAGCAGATGTTAACAGCACCAGCTACCCACCATGTAGTTAGAATCTGCATGTGAGCTCTGCAGACCAGCTGGCTCCACATTTGCCATTCAGCCAGCTCATGTCAAGGTTGGATGAATCTGTGGATATGGAACCCAGAGACAGAAAAAAATACCTTAAAGGTAGGGGACCAGCACAGGAAAGACCCATGTTGTTTAAGGGTCACTTGTATAATAATGTCTTTTTAGTCCACCTTTTGAATCTGCTAAAAAAAATTTCTCTTTTGAGATTTTTAGTTTTATGCTAAGAAAAGGATTTTCCCACTTCAAGTTCCAATAAACACATATATGTTCTATTTTTTGCTATCTCATTTTTAACTTTTTGACTCATCCCATATTTAATTTGTCATATATAGTGAGGCTGGAATCTAACGATTTCTTCTTCAAGACTCCAAAGTTGGAGGCTCCCTGCTGGCTCAAGGGGTTAAGTCTCAGCACTCTGAAGCTATATGCAGCCACTGCAGCATGAGTTCAATCCCCGGCCAGGGAGCTGACCCAAATGGCACAGCAGACCTCTCCTGTCTCACCTGCTGCTCTCATCAGCAGTATAGCTCAGTAGATCTGCCTGTTCTGCTCCCCACTCTATCTCTGGTGATTTCTCTCACCCTCCACAACTCTGGCCTATACCTCAGTTCTTGTATGCATAAATAAATACAATCAATCTTTTAAAAAATTAAAATAAAGCAGTCCATTTGTTACAATCAGTGAACCTACAGTCAAACATCATTGCACCCAAAGGTCTTGGTTTATATCCAGGCTCACTCCTGGTGCTTTACATTTGGTGGGTTTGGATAAATGTATAATGACTTATATCCACCATTATAGTATCATACAGAATAATTCATGGTCAATATTAGCCAAGATTCTACAGATAAACAGGACCAGTAGGATATAGATATGAAGAGATTTTTTATAGGGATTGGCTTACTTGACTATGGAAACTGAGAATCCCATGATCTGCGATCTGCACACTAGTGAACCAGGAAGCCAGTGGTGTAATTCAGTCCAGGTCCAGTTCTTGAGAACCAGGGGAGCAGATGTTAAGTCTGGGTCCAAAGGCCTGAGAATCAGAGGGCAGATGGTAAGTCCCAGTCTTAGTCTGAAGACCCAAAATCTAGTAGTACCTCTATAATAGGGAAGGAAAAGACAAATCTCAGCTCAAGTAAAGAGAGCAAATTTGTTCTTCCTCCACCTTTTTGCTCTATTTCGGCCATCAACATTTTGACGGATGCCTATCTGCCCTGCTGGGTGTAATCTTCTTCACAAACTACAGATTCAAATGCTAGTGTCTACACCCAGAAATATTTTACCAGCTATCTGGGCATCCCTGATCCCAGTCACACTGGCTCAGAAAATTCACTATCACACTGCTCTAAAAATCCTCTGTGCTCTGCCTCTTCATGTTTCCCTCCCTCAAACTCTGGCAACCATTGAGCCTTTTACTGTCTTCATAGTTTTGCCTTTTTCCAGAGTCATACAGTTGGAATCATGCAGTGTGTATTCTTCTCAGATTGTCTTCTCTCACTAAGTAGCCTGTATTAGTGATTTTCATGCAAGTAATGTGATGTTTTCCATGACTTGATAACTCATTTCTTTTTAGCACTGATTTTATTTTTAGCTCATTTTCTTTTGGTTTCTTTGTAGTGCTAAGTGTCCTATTGCTGGTTTTGAGGTAGATACATTTTTAAATAATTTGGATCTATGAATCACACAAAAGATTGCTGGATTATATGGTAAGAATATGCTAAGTTTTGTAAAAACCACCAAACTCTCTTCCAAAGTGGCTGTGCCATTTTGCATTTTTTAAATTTTTTTTAAAGATTTTTTAAAATTTATGCATACAAGAACTGGGGTCAGGCCAGCGGCGTGGGCGGGGAGCTCTGAGGGGATTCACCAGAGACAGAGTAGGCAGCAGAACAGGTAGATCGACCGAAATACATTCCTGAAGGGAGCAGTGGGCAAGACAGGAGAGGTCTGCTGTGCCATGTGAGTCAGCTCCCTCGCTGGGGATCAAACTCATGCTACGGTGGCTGCGAATAGCTTGATAGCACTGACTTTATCCCCTGCGCCACCAGGGAGGCCCCCATTTTGCATTCTACCAGCAATGAATGAGAGTTCTTCATGCTCTTCCTCTTCTATGAGTTGACATTCTTGTTGATTTAATCTTATGATTGATTGTTTCTGTTTACTGTCTCCTGACAGTAAACAGATTCTATGTGCTGCTGTTTTCTTCATGTGTTCTGTAATTTTGGATTGTGAAGTCAGAAGCCTGAGTTGAGGGCATGCCACTCTAAAGCAATACAGGTTCCCCTCCATCCAAAAGTAGGACTTTCCTATATGGTAGGTTATTTTTGGGAATGCTTAAAAAATTGTCCATTTAGATTAATAGTGATAAATGTTTTCAGACCCCTCCCAAAAAATAACCTACCAAACAGGTATGTCCTTTAAAATAGCAAACGCAGGCCTATAATTATTGTGCTTGTTTGTATGAAGCATCCTGCAATACCATCATCCCAAGATCATTGTTTTTATTAATTTCTTGTATGGCTGAGAATAAATGAATCCCAAACCCCTATGGAGGTTCTGTGGAGATCTATGGAGACACAGAACTTTGGCTTCAGTTTCTCATTGAAGACAGTGTACTCCTTTCACAACCTACAGGAAACGAACCTTCTCACGCTCCAGTGCTAGCAAGCCATTTTCTTAAATCTGAGGACTATCATTTTCCAAGGGTATACCCATCCTAGTGTCCTGGCTTCAATGCAGGGTTTCATTTCCACATAAATTTCTGTCTGAAGGACCTCATTTTCTGTTCTTATCTGGGTATCAAAGCACAACCAGGGCCTCCCTTGGTGGTGCAGCGGTTGAGTGCTGGGCTGCGAAGCTGCCAGCAGCCTTTACAGGGCTGGTTCAATCCCTGGCCACCAGCAATGGTCCCACATGGCGCACAGCCCTCTCCTGCTGCGCTCGCTGCTCCCCTCAGCAGTGTGTTTCGTCAGTCTGCCTGTTCTGTTCCCCGCTCTGGCTCTGGTGAATTCTCTCACCCTCCCTTGCTTCTGACTGTACCCAGTGCTTGTATAAATAAATAAATCTTTTAAAAAAAAGAGTGTGTCTTGCAACTCTTAAAAAAAAAATAAGCACAACCAGATATTTAGTGAAACCAAGCATTGCGCACGTCACCATTACTGCCTGCCAAGACAGTTGCTAGGTCAGCTCACTTGCTTAATGCTCTGATTTTCAGTTTTCCCTTTGTTTTTAACCCTCAGGGATTTCCTTCATGTTCTCGAAGGCACTATGATACTCTTAAAAAGATATTTGTTTTATTTGCATCAGTATTTTAGGTACTTGTAGTGGGAAGGCTTTTATTTTCTGTAACCTCTATTGCTAGAAATAGAAGCTAATGACTTTTTTCTAACCATAATCACCACTATCCTGGTGATGCTAGAGGACAGGTCTGAATATTTTATGTGAGTAAATGGACAGAGTTGCTCTACATGTAAGTTATGGACAATGAACATTATCCCCCTCTTTCTTTGTCTCCCCAGAAATGTCCAGAGAACATTCTAAAGGCCGATCTTCCTGTGTACACTTTAGCCCCAGTGAAGGCAAAGGTGGAAACAGGCGCTCAGGAGTTTCCTCTATTGAGAAGTCAAGAGGTGAGACAATTGGCGAGCAGCGGTGTGACAAGAGAAAAGGTTTCCTGAAACAGCCTTCCTGCCTCAGGGCCGCTAGCACTGATGAGAAAGGAGAGGACCCCCATGGGGCAGCGAACCTTCCACAGCAGGAGGGTCCCTGGAAGCTCAGCAGGCAGCACAATGAAGCACCCAAGGCCAAATGTGCCTCCCAAAAAAGGCGTTTTCCTGACCTCAAAGGAGGAAGGTGCTCCCCAGCGGGTTCTAGCCGGCCAGGCAGCGCCAAGGGGGAGGTGGCCCATGCTGGACAGAATCCTCTTCACCATCGGACAGCAAAGAACAAAGTGACACAGGACAAGCTCACAGGAGGGAGCAACTCAGATTTGCCACAGAGCACAGAGGTGTTGAGGACAGGGGTCAGGAAACTGAGAACATCTACTCGGTCTGAGGACACTCAGATATCTAAGGAGACTGACCCAGCACCTAGTCCCCTCTCTGCACAGCCTGTGAATATTGACCTTCTCCCCGTAGAGCTGCGGCTGCAGATAATCCAAAGAGAGAGAAGCAGGAAAGAGCTGTTTCGCAAAAAGAACAAGGCAGCAGCCATCATCCAGAGGGCCTGGAGAAGGTAGGAAGATGGGGTGCTACAGCACCTTTGGTTCTATGTTTATCTGATACCCCTAACTTGACACCCCCTGCTCTGTAACATTTTCTACTGAATTCTATGTGCTGTTGTGATAAGACCATTTTTATTGAGCCAGCCTGTGAATTCACACACGTGTAGATCCTTATAATTTACACTGGGCAAGCTATTTAAGTGGTATTTTTGCCAAGAAAGATAGAAAGCACTCAGGATAGCCTGGTGTAAGAAAAAACGCTCTCAGTTCGAAAACAGAAAGTCTAAGTTTCAGATGAAGCTCTAATAGGCTAACTGACCTCGAGCCAATCATTCGCTGGTCCTCAGTCTCCTCATCTGTGAAATGGAATTTAACAATTGCACAGCTATCCTGTTTACATGACAGGTTGCTAGGTTGATGTAAAGTGTGCTTCATAACTTCTGAAGCACTATTATGTATAAGATACTTTTTTTTTAAATGTCTTTACTGTCCCAAATGCCTAAACAGAGAGGCCTGAATATAGTGAGTTGAGTGACTGAATTTATTACAAAAACCTGTGTAACACCACCAAATTGAGTTTGGGCTAAGTGCTGGGAGTCATGGTGGACGCTTCCTAAAATACTGAAACAGTATTACTGAATACTGAAACAATACTGAAACAGAATTACTCCTCCAGGGAGTAATTCTAGGAGGGCTGGAGGAGTCCTCTGCTGCTCGTTTTCATATATCCCATAATCTTCACACCACAGGTCCCACTAAGGGCCTAAATCCAGAGTAGGCCATCGCTGCACCCACCAACAGGTGGAGTCATGGGACCTCTCTCTCCTCGGAGAGGAAAGTTAATAGGGGAACAAAGCAAGCGGATCACTGCAAGCACAGGTGCACCACATATCAACGCCCCTGCCAGGAGATAAAAAGGTCAGGAGAAGCAGAGGCAGAGAAAAGAGATTCTCATGAGGGAGAGATCTTGTGGCTGCTGTGCCCGGCTCTCTACCCAAAGCCCTGTGCTGTGCTTCCTGCTTGCATGGGCTTTGCAGTAGTGCGGCCTCATGTCTTTTCAAGCTATTGGCCACTTACAAAGTCCTTCATGTCTTATCCCATTTGCTCCTCCAACCACACCAGAGAGCCGCCGTGACTGGGATTAGCATCTCCATTTTTCAGACCAGCAAATGGTCTCAGAAGTGACTTGTCCTAGTGTAGCAGATCCAGCAGTTAAAGCTCTGACTCAAATCCAAGGGCCTTTGCCCTTATGTTCTTGGCAGAGGTGGTTGTCTGTCAAGATAATGGAGACCGAGGCAGGCCTCACGCTCTTCACGTCAACAGGCTAGAGAGAAGAGCTGCCTGCCTGGTGGACAACACACCAAGGTAGCATCCTGGGGATGTGTGGTTACTGTTGTTAGTGCTTGTAGTTAGCATTACTTGACACTTGTGCCAGCCCATTTTACCTGTATTAACACATTTATCCTTACAAAAATCATGTAGATTCTCTTCGTATCCTCCTTCCACAGAGAAGGAAACTGAAGCATGGGAAAAGGTTAATCAGCCTGCCAAGGTTACAGCACTAGGAAGTGCTGGAGCTGAGATAGTCTTATCTCCGAACCCCAGATGGGAATGGTCTTCGGTGCCCCCTTGGGGAGTTCTACTGGACCGGTACTAGATACCATCTCAGAAGAACTTTTAAGTATTTCAGCTGAACCCTAGGATCTAAACAAGTCAGCTTTACCACATCAGGCCCCACAGCTGCTCCCTAGCTGAAATGCCTTCCTGTAGGACTGTTCCTTGACTCCTTTGAAGAGTCAAAAGCTGACAGGTCCTGTCAGTAAGTGTCCATAGCAGCAAATGAGCCTTCAGTCATGCCCCGCAAGAACAGTGGGCTCATAGTCTGAGTGCCCAGCTGGGGAGGCAATTATGCAGGGCCCTCTGGCTGCACCATTGTGCTACCCGGACCTGGACACTGACTCCCAAAGGGCTTCTGGGATGCTGCACCTTGTGGGAAGTCACATGTGTGGTGACAATAAAAAAGGCTTTATTGATTCTGTAATAGCCTTGTAAGTCTTTCATTCTAAATTTAGGAGCTCATCACGCTGTCCTGGGACAGTGTGTGGTGTCTTACTCCAAACCTAAGGCACCCGGGAAGGGGTGTTAAAACGGGGTTCAGGGAACAGGGCTTGTCACCTAAGCCTTCCATAAACACAAGCTACCATGGAGGAGCCAGGCCACGGATGAGGAAAGGCAGACAGGCACAGGCACAGTGTGAGCAGATTGAACCTTGGGCCAGAAGAACCTGAAGCATAGTCTTAAAGTACAAGTTTTAGTACCAAGATTTGATTATTTTAAAGGTTTTTTGAAGATTGAAACCAGGACCTCCCCTGGTGGCGCAGTGGTTGAGCGCTGGGTTGTGAGGCTGCCCCTAGCCTCTGCAGCACCAGTTCGATCCCCGGCCACCGGCAAGGGGCCCACCAAAAAAAAAAAAAAAAAAAAATTGAAACCAGACAGTGGGCAAGCCAAGCTGGGCTGGAAAGATACTGGACCAGCTTTTCACCCGAATGTGTGTAAGCCACTATCCTGTCAGCTCTTCTCCAGGGTGTTCTGAGGTGATTAAGAACAACCCCGAGGCTGGGGCTGAACGGAACGGTTAGGCATTGGGACATTCTACAATCCTGGAGTGCAAGTTCCCCTTGAGATTGGTAGACTAGAGGCTGCTCCTCTGCCTCTAGGACCATTGTCTTAGCAACAGCCCCGATCTCCATGGGAATCATGACTGAGAGCCTGCTCTCCCCAGTGACTTCTCTGCTTCGGAGCAGAGGTTTCTTGACTTCTCAAACAAAAGAGATTGAGTTAAGGAGCAGTATCGGCCCATAACTCCAGCTTTTCTCTACAGCTGGCTTTTTGGAAAAGTAGTACATATTCTAGAAGGGGGATGCCATGGTTTGTCACTCTCCAGGAAAAGAAATCATGTCGTTTCACTGAAATGGCCTTTAGAGCAGCAGGAAGAGGCTGCAAAGAGCTTTTAGCTGATTAGGAAGATTACCTCGCATTTGGTGTATACTAAAGTCAGGCATGGGGCAGCTTCCTATGAGCTCACCAGAAGTAGTTAATCAGCCACAGGTAATGAACATTAACGCAACTTTCTTTGGGAGGCTCCAAAACAGCTGTGTTCAGTAAGCAATTTGGGAGTGCATGTGAGATAGACAACATCAAATAAACACGAGCTGTAAATACAGCAGGTCCAGAAGTGCAATTGCTAGAGCAAACGGTAGTGCCATTTTAAATTTTTTCAGGAATTTCCATACTGTGTTCCATAGTGTTCACGAACTGTAAACACAAGTGTGCTTGCAGGGGTTCCCATGTCTCCATATCCTCATCAGCACTTAACTCCTCTCTTGTTTGTTGTGGGGAGAGATAACAGTTTGCTTGAGTATTGGTTTTGTTTTTTTCTTTAAATTTTATTTTAAAATCTTGCAGATGACAAAAAACAAGTTCAATATAGAAAATTGTTTAAACAAAAACTAAAGATCAGAACTAAGCATGTGGGTTGTTGACAGCATTTTCTAGGGATATGTTTATGTCCTTTTTATAATATGTATGCACATGTGTAGGGTAAGTGAATTAATCAGGCTTTTTGTGCCACGAGCCTCTGGCTAGCACCTACAGCCTTGATCCTGTTAAAGCAGAAGGTACTTGGAGTGTGGGTGTGGCGCACACGAGCCTGATTGTGGACACCTGGAGTATGGGTGCGCACACCTACATAAGTGTGCACACCTGAGGGTGCGGCTAGAGCTATAAGGGTGGCATCACTCAGACGGGACGGCTGTGAGAGGACGAGGGACTGCACAAGAGGGGAGACCACGAGAGAATGCCAGAGGGAGCCCAGAAAAGAGTAAAGATTCACTAGGGGTTGGGGGATTTAGTTGCTGCCTACCTCCCAGCCCCGGTCCCCCAACTCCACCCCCCACCCCACTCCACCCCCGCCCCGCACCTGATTGCCCCACTAAAACATTAAACTTTATTGGTTAACCTCCCTTTCTCGACAATATACTATGAGCCCTTTTCCATGTTTTAAAATATTATATTCTACTGCACAGCTTTCTACTGTTGGAAGATATCGTAATTTAACTGTTTCCTTAGTACTGAACTGCCTTATCTCCAGACTTTTACTACTATAAATAATGTGGTAGTGCCCTTTTATGACTGGTAGATTGTTGTAGTGCCCCTTTATGACTTTGGTATCAGGGTAGTTGGTGGCCTCATAAAATCAGTTTGCAAAGTGTTCCCTTCTCTTTGATTTTTTTTCCCAAAGAGTTTGAGAAGGATTGGCATTAATTCTTCTTTAGATATTTGATAATATTCACCAGTGATGTCATCTGGTCCTGGGTTATTCTTTGTTGGGAGATTTTTGATTACTCAGTCTTTCTGTTTATTAGTAATTGGTCTGTTCAGGGTTTCTATTCTTTGTTCAGTCTAAGTAGGGTGAATATTTATAAGAATTTTCCCACTTATTCTAGGTTATCCAGTGTGTTGACATATATTTATATAGTTTATGATTCTTTGTATACCTGTGGTATCAATTGTAATGGCTCCTTTTTCATTTATAATAAAATTTTGTTGATATGGGTCCTCTTTTTCCCCTTGGTTAATCTAGCTAGAGGTTAATTTTATTTTTTCCAAGAACCAATTCTTTGTTTTGTTAATCTTTTCTATTTCCCTGCTCTTTGAATAATTTCTGCTCTAATCTGTATATCATTCTTTCTGCTAATTTTGGGCTGTTCTTTTAGTTCCTTAAGGTATATAGATATAGATCTAGGTGGCTTGTTTGAGATCTTGTTTCTTAATATAGGTGTTTATTGCTATGAATTTCCCTCTAGAATTGCTTTTGCAATATCCCATAAGTGCTGGTATGTCATTCCCATTTTGTCTGTCTCAAGACATTTTATAAATTTCTCTTTCAAATTCTTCTTTTCCATTGGTTGTTCAGCAGAGTGTTAATATGCGTGTAGTCATGAGTTTTCCAGTTCACCCCCTGATTTCTAGTTTCACACCATTATGGTCAGAGAACATACTTAACATGATCTGTCTCTAAATTTGCAAAGACTTATTTTGTGACCTAATGTGTGGTCTATTGTAGAAAATTATCCATATATGCTTAAGAAGAATATATATTCTGAAGTTGTTGGATAGAATATATGTGTCTGTTAGGTCCATTTGTTAAATGATGTTACTCAAATCAGTTCTTTCTCTTTGGATGGTCTATGCATTGTTGAGAGTAGGGAAATGAAGTCTAGCTATTATTGCTCTGTATTTCTCCCAGTGGCTGTGTTAGTTTTTGCTTTATATAGACACTCCAGTGTTTGGTACATAAATATTTACAATTATATCTGCTTAATAAATTGATCCTTTTATCATTATATAATGATCTTTTTCATTTTTAACCATTTTTATTCTGTTTTGTCTGATGTAAGTGAAATTAACATTTTTTTTAAATTTCCATTTGCTTGAAATATCTTTTTCCATCTCTTCACTCTGTTTATCTTTAAGACTGAAGTGAGTCTCTTGTACACAGCATATCTTGGGGTCTTGGATTTTTTTCATAATCCATTCAGCCACTCTCTTTTGTTTGGTGAATTTAATCCATTTATGTGTAAAATAATTATTGTGACTAAGGACCTATTATAATTTTCTTAATTGTTTTCTGGTTTTGTGAATCCATTATTTCTTATTCTGCTGTCTTTTTTGTTTTGATATCTTTTGATATCAGTATGTTTTCTTTATCATATCTTTCGTGTAGTTAGTACAGATTTTTTCCTTATGGTTTTATGAAACTTATATAAAATATCTTCAAGTTATAACATGCTATTTTAAATTGCTGACAACTTGAAGAGCATTCCTAGACTTCACACTGTTCTCCCCCTTACGTTTTAGGATATTGATGTCACAGCTTACGTGGTTTATATTGTGTCCCCTATAACAGATTATTGTAGTTTACTATGTTTAATTTTTAAACTTCTCCAATTTGGGCCTGTTCACCCCTCTTTAGGCACTCTCTGTTCATCCCCTACTTCCAGGTCACCACATTGATGAGAAATTAGTGTAGATACCTGAATGACATAGCATACTACTGCCCAGAACTCCTGGACTCAAGCAGTTCTCCAGCCTCAGTCTCCCAAGTAGCTGGAGTACATGCATATACCACTGTGCCTAGCAATTTTTAAACTTTTGTTTTTTAAAGATTTATTTATGCATACAAGAGCTGGGGTACAGGCCAGACGTGTGGGGGGGGGGGTGAGAGGACTCACCAGAGACTGAGTGGGGAGCAGAACAGGCAGACTGACTGAAATATACTGCTGAGGGGAGCAGCGAGCGAGACAGGAGAGGTCTGCTGCGCCGTGTGGGATTCTCCCTGTCTGACTGGGGATTGAATTCGTGCTGCGGAGGCTGTGGATTGCTTCATAGTGCGCTGCTTAACCCCTGTGCCACCAGGGAGGCCCTGTTTTTCAACTTTTAAACTAGAGTTGTAAGTGAATTATGTTACCCCCATTACCTTGGTACAAAAATCTAACTTTGACTATATTTTCATTACCAGTGAGTTTCATATTCCTTTCTTATGTTTTTATAATTAGTATCTTTTTACCTCCACTTAAGTAACTGCATTTAGCATTTTTATAAGACATGTTTAGTGGTGATGAATTCCCCTGGCTTGTTTGTCCTGGAAAGTATCTTAATTTCTGAAGGACACATTTGCCAGACATAGAATTTATGATGGACAGGTTTTTTTCATATTTTGAACATACCATTCTCTCCTGACTTGTAACGTTCCTGTTGAGAGGTCTCTTGCAGATGACTTGCTGTTTCTCTTGCTGCTTTCAAATTTGTCTTTGACTTGATAATTTAAATATTAATGTGTTTCAGTGTATCCCTATTTGAGTTCAGCACATTGAGTTCAGCCTCATTAATCTGGATATCCACTTCTCTCCCTAGGTTTGGAAAGTTTTCAGTCATTATTTCTTTAAATATATTTTCTATTGCTGTTTCTCTAGGCTCCCCATAATGTGGATATTGTGCCTTTTGATTGTCTCCTATGTCACCTTTCTCATTCTTTTTTTCTTTTTGCTTATCTGACTGGTTATCTTTTTTTCAATTGTATTTTATTGGGTCATATTGGTTTACAACACTGTAATGATTGGGTATTTTCAAATATCCTGTCTTCCAGGTGAATGATTCTTTCCTCTGCATAGTCAAGTCTGATTTTGAAGCTCTCTATTGAAATTTTCAGGTCAGTCACTGTCTTTTTTCAGCTACAGGATTTTTGGGGGATAGGTTTCTGTTTCTTTTTTTTTTTTAATTTAAATATTTTATTTTATATAATTCTTACATCTTTTTCCATCTTTGCACAATGTATCATTTTCATTTTGGTTATATTCCCCATACAATTGCACCCGGTTTCTATTACTTTGTTGAACTTATTTTGTTCATGCATTGCTTTCCTAATTTTGTTAATTTTGTTTAGTCGTTTGTGTGATCCTGTAGTGCATTGAACCTCTTTAAGAGGATCATTCTGAATTCTTTGCCTGGCAACTTATGAATCTCCATATCTGTAAGATATGGTTATTAGAACTTAAATTACTAGTGTCATAATCACCTGAATTTTTTTGATTCTTGACTCCTTACATTGGCATGTGCACATTTGAGTAAGCACTTTCCTATTCTAGACTTCAAGATGGTTTTTCAGTCAGCTCAGTTTGAGTTTCTCATTGTGTCTGCTGATAATGTTCTTGGGCAAGTGAGACTTGCTAGCAGGGTCTCTTTGGGAGCAAGGCCATTGTTTGAGCTCTGAGGTCGGAGGGTAGTGGTATGAACAATTGAATAGGCCTGCTGTTTGATTCTCTGTCCATGAGGCTGAAGGATTGTCCCGGCAATTGCCCAAGTTCTCTGGTTAGACTATCTAGATGGTTAGGACTACGCACACTATTCATCAGTAGGGGGGGCTCTCAGTTAGCTTCCCTGCCCTAACAGGGCAGCAGGATGGGCCCCAGGACTTAAACAGTTCATTGTTTGGGAACCTCAAGCAGGCAAGACTATGCACTGACTTCCCTGCCCAGAAAGGACCGCTGATTTTGTTCGACACATGAGGAAGTCGTGGGTTATGCTCAGTTAAAATGCCACTGTTAAGAAAGGGCTGTCACTGCAGAGTTTGGGTTCTGTGGCCATACAAGCTGAAGGCTGCATTCGGCACTGGCTGGGATTAGGAATTAACTTTTACTGCCCAGATGGAGCAGAAGAACCAGGTGCAAGGCCACTGAGGCTTTTTGTAGTATTAACTCAAACCACCCCACTCCCTATGTTTCCTTACTGAATGTGCTACTGGCTTTGCTCTGCAGACAATCAGTTCTGCCTACTGTGTTCTCTTCAAGTGCTGCTGGGGTACAGGGCTTCCAGTCTTCCTGGTCAGGCAGAGCCAAGAACTAGCAGTGGTCCAGGCTATGACCTGGTTCCCCTGCCTGAGCAGGAGCCCAGGCTCCAGGGTTAGCAAGGCTCTTCACCCTGCTGAATTTCCTGCACCATTACATAGGCTGTGCACATGAACAAAGCTGCTGGTTGGGACTACTGGTTGTGCACTCTGGGTAGAAACTCGACTTACCAAAATGTATGTATTGCTTGACAACCCCTCACCTGCTCCTCCTTCACAATGAGATTGCCCGTGGTCAAGCCCCACAGACTCTCCTGCAATACCTGGGAGGCAAGACCAGAAAGAGAGCTTCCAAGCAGTGACGCAAACACTAGGGGAGTTGGTTGTTCACCCCGGGCTCTTTTTCAATGAAGGAACCTCAGACTCAGTAAACCTACACTGACTTGGGAAGGGTTGGGGTGGGGGCAGCACAGGGCCGGTAATGTGGTCAGCATGTAGCTGTTACTCTCTCTCTTCTAATATGATCTGTTTTGGCCTCTGTTCTGTAGCCTCACCCAGTGTTCTTGGATTTTCTCAGTGGCGTCATGTCCATAAATAGTTAGGTCATTTCTGATTTTACTACCCTCACCATTAACAATATCACTATCTTGATGATGTCAACCTCTATTCTGCCTTAATCAGTCTCATATCTACCTCAGATTTGTGTTTAGGCTTAAACATCAGGGAAGAGCCTCATACAGCAGAACCTCAAATGTTGGACACCTCCACAGTATATTATATCCTTCCATCCTCTCCTCTCACCAAATACACAATTCTTAACACAACTCATTACTTTCTGCACAAATGCCCACATTTCTACTCATGCCAGTTCTACCAGAATGCACTTCTCTGCCTGGTAAGCTCCTACCACCCTTTAAAACCCAACACAAATGTCCAAGTCTTAAAGCTTCACTAAATCACAATGATGATTTCCGCATGTATATCATATCTTCTAGCTCCTTGGCTCTCATATAGTACTTATACTGCACCTTTATACATTGGCCCATCTCACCTTGAGGGCAAGAATTTGACTCCTACTTCAGGAATTATTTGATGTTGGAAAACAGAAGTCACCATTCAATATACTGTCACTGAAATTAACGAATTCAAATGAATCTCCCAGTTCAGCAAATATTATCCCCATAGCCTCTAGGAAGAAAGAAATTTTGGTTTTCTCAAAACTATGATCTTAAAGCAACTCTCCCCTCCTCTGACCCCACCAGCTTCCAGCTCAGAAAGCATCTATCTCACCTTGTGCAGATGAAGCAACTTGGAGCCAGAGATGTGGACAGATGGAACCGAAAATGCATGACATTGCTCCTCCAAGTTTGGAGGAAGGAACTGGAACTAAAACCCCCAAAGACCACTGCGGTTAGCAGGGCCACCAAAGGTTCATCCAAGAGCAGCTCAGGCACAAAGGCTACCAGGCATGCAGTGCTTAAGCAGATCTATGGTAACTGTCATTCCGGGCACTTTGTAGTTTACAAGTATCCCCAGCTTATTCTGTTTCCAAGTACCAAGAGAATTCTCAGCACCATACTTAATGCTTTCCATACCAGTATTTCTAGCACAGAATGAATTCATGAAGTATTCTGACTTCTCAACCCAGAATCTTTCAGTCAAGAGTTTCTTTGCTGAGCTTCATAATTGAAAGTCTCCCCAGGTGGCTGCTTGAGTCTTCCCTTTATCTATTTGGGGACTCCAAACTAGAGGCAGCCCCCGCCCGCCTCATTTTGACCTTTCCTGCTGTCTACAGCTATGCCCCCGACCCAAGCACAACAGGTAATGCTTGTTTAGAAGCTGAACTACTGTAAATTAGAACATTTTCAGCTTTGGAAAGAGCCTATCCAAATAAACTCAGCAGAGAACAGGCCTTGTAGCTTCCCAACAGAAGAAAAAAAAAATTGAGCAAAGTTATCTCTAGAAAGAGATCTGCAGCCCAGGCAGCCAAATCTGAGGACTTGAAATACCTACATGGTATTTCAACACCGTAGCTAATATATCTTGGCAGACACCCAAGATAAACCTCTACCTTAATAAGAAATTCAGAACTTGGTCAGGCCATAGCTGCACTCTCAGATAAGTGATTATTGTTGGTTGATTTCAGGTTCTCAAGAAGGAAAAGTACATCATTCCACAAGATCTTCAAAAACCCACTCTGTGCTGCGTCTCAATTCAGGTAAGGCTGCCACTGCACTAGCCAACTAGACTGTGGAGGCAATCAGGGGAATAGTTCCTTTTTCATCCCCAAAGGTTGACAACATCAGAACAGTGATTGACAGGGAAACCCAATGGTCATTTGATTTTAGGTATGTACCTATCCCATCATGAAAGTATTAGTACAGCCAACATCTGTCTCTTAAGAGGCAGATGTTAATAGCAAAAAGCTATTAACATTACTTCCAGGAGAAACAATAAATGTAGCTATATTGGTCACTTTTACATACTTGTTCACATGAAGGGGAAAATGACCATATTTTCGTCCTTCAGATTAATACCTTGAAATTCTTGTCCCGTTTTGGTTTAACATTAATATCCCAACCTGCTTTCCAAAGATGGAAAGAAGTCCCTTTATTTACCACCAATTCTGACTTTTGCCTTTTAGGACCCATAAAGAAGGGATTTAATATCTAATAACATGTCCAAATCAGGCTCAACTGTGGACACTTTCACTCAAGCAGGAGCAGCTTAAGGAACTTTCTTTTCAGCTGCAATTCAAGAATATTTTACTCAAAGCCCCTTCATTCAAGCCAGCATTAAATTTGGGTGATAAGTTCAGTGCTGTCAGCAGTTAATGCCAAGTCCAGTGTTCCTCATAGGTGGCTATGGCAACACACTCCCCCCACCCGTCCTCAGCCAGTCATCCTGTAGCAACAGAGTGCAGCTGGGAAGGTGAACAATGACTGTCAGCATGAACTTTAACATTCATCTAGTTTTTGATGGGAGTAAAATCTGGAGGTGGGGACTGAGTAATTACTGCCAAATCTTTTAATAAAAGTTGGGCAACTCCTGTAATATGGGCAGGCTGATCAGGGAATGGTGGGTGGGGTAGTTAGGGACTTTCAAAGGAATCAGGCCCATTTTATTTGGATGAATCGAACAGTTTTAGAAACAGGTCAGATGTAACTACCAGGTAAGTGGCATTTAGATAACCAAATATAATTTAGCACATGTTGCGTATGTCTCGAGAAAAATCCAGTACTATAAGAAACCTTTAAAAAAAAAAAAAAGGTGTTTATAGGCATAAAAGCCTTAAAGCACAAGACAGAGCAAACAAATTCAAAGAAATAGTTAATGACTTCTTAGAAATTCATCTTAACAAAACTGCTTATTTGTCCTGCACATAGATAATTCTCACTGGCTTGAAAATGAATAGGGACTGAAGAACCCTAAACTTGAGGAAATACAAGATTTCACCACTCGCAGGAAGGAGTAAGACTGATTGTCAGTTTTATTAATAACTGTTCTACAGTTTAGCTATAGACTATATACAGAAAACATGTCTCCAAATGAAATAAATTCTATGAGATACACAACTTGGACACAGTTTCTGCAATGTGGAATAGTGGCCAAACAGAACCAAAAAGTTGAGAACGTTAATTTTTTTGTTCTTCAATAAAAATGTTCACTTTCTGCTTTAATTCCATGGGGCTAATGATCTGATTTTGCTCACTGTTCCATTTAGCTTTAATAAATTTTTTGGCACATTGAAGGTTCTGATATTCAAGTGGATTGTTGCTTCTGACCTCCAACTTGAGGAAAGACTTTAGTAATGAGTGCCTTTACCTCTTAAAAAGGAGGAGATAGAAAGTGAGTTGGATAAGCAAAATAACAGCTTCCTTAGACATTTATTTGGGAGGCAACTCAACCATCCCGTTCTCTCCATTCTACAGCTGTCCCTCCAGGCCACCCACCAATAGCAGCATAGCAATAATCAGATATATATAACCTCCCAAAATTGCAGGCCTAGCTTTCTAAAAATAAACTCCCTTTAAGAAGTCCATTCCAATAAATCGAATAACCACGCCTTAGGTGACTAATAGTAATGGTACCCCTCCCCCCTGCCTAAGACTATAAAGACAGCTAAAACATGCTAGAGTTCCAAAACAGTACTTCAGTAGTTATTTAAAAGTGAAATAACAGTAACAAAACAAGTAAGATGTTTAACTTTTTAAAATTTACTCACCTTTCATGTTTGCTTCTTTGCGCCATAGTAAGTTAGGAATGACATGAAATAGACAGCCTCAGCAAGGTCTCTAAACCACTCGGGCGCAGCATATCCCCACTTGTGAGTGAGAGTTCAATATATTACAGATATTTTCCAGCATCCTCTAAGTTTGTCATAAAAAGATGTACTTCAAATTGGGTATGTCTGTGCTTGAAGAGCTGAGGACTTTTCAACTAACATATTCTGGAATGAACTTTAGCAAATGTAGCACAAGGTAAGTTAAAATATGTACACGTGTAGAAGTTTGTATATTGTGTCATGTTAGAGAGCTGTGCAGAGAGAAAGGTCTCATACCAACTATTCCGGGTTGACTGAAGACTTAAGGTTCCAGTCCCAGGTCCTCGTGCCTGCCACAGCCCCTCCCAGTCAAGGTTCTTCCTTAAAAAAGATGTCACATTATCTTTAAGATGGTGGAAAATGCAAAGCTGCTGAGTCATCCTGTCTGTACAGTGAATTGGCCATTGCCTTATTTAGTCCCAGTGTAGTCAAGATCTAAAACCCCTTTAACCAATGAGCTTTCCTTTCAGCATTAAAATAAATAACCTCTATCTCTCTCTTTTAACAGTGAGCAATTTGCAGTGTATACACCTCCTTGAGAACAGTGGCAGATCCAAGAATTTTTCTTATAACCTACAATCAGCTACTCAATCAAAAAGCAGAGCAAAGCTTCGACTGCCGCTGGAGGAAGACGGTGCACGGGGGAGCTGGAATAACCAGTGAGGAGTTCTAATTCTGATAACCTTTTACATTTGGGGAAAACTTTAATAGCCATGTCTAAAGTCTTATTAATCTGAAAATATGGTAGCCACTGGAAGGAAATGTCACACGTTTTCTTTGTGCTCTTATACAGCACTGTTTTGTAGATCATCTTAGCCTGTGCCGAGAGTAGACTATGCATGTGAAAAATGCCTTGCTGTCTGCTTTCACCTCAGTCAGTAGGGCTGGAAAGGAGAATTTAAAGTCTAAATATGTCTACAACGAACACTACAAGCACAAAAGGGTGTGGCTGGATTAGGATTTCTGACAGCCAGTTGGTGCACACCTGGTTTTTCGCGCCAGCAAAGAAAACTAAATGAGATGGCAGAATCTATCTTACAGCAGCCTTCATTTCACTACTTTTCTGTCCTCTAAATGCAACAGGCATCACAATAACACATCCTTTTATTCTAATAATATCAGTTTTAAATTTTAGACCAGAATCATGATCCAGCATTTTGTTTTTAAGGCCACAGGTACACTATGTTGACTTCTCAGTCCCCATGTTAGTGTCTGAAGGCCACAGGCTGCTGCAAAGACCTCTCTACAAACAACACTGTCTTTGCTGAGCAGCAGCATTTCAGCAAGACTGTTCCTCACGGTGTACCTGTTAAGGCCTTAACATTCCACTTGTACTTTTTGTTCAACCAGCAGAGGTGAGCAAACTTGTCAAAATGCCATTCCTATTGCAAGGGATTACTGCTAACTACAAATATTCTAGCTATCCAAGAATATGTGGGAGTTTTCACTTTTAAGGGCAAAACTGTAGAATATAGACAGGAGGCATAAACAATGACATATTAAATTGACAAATATTTTTAGGATTGTTTCTATTAAAGATTACTGCTATCCAGTCCTGAGACAGTGAGCTAGGTTTCACAGAAATCACTGTGCAGCTGGTAGTTTAAGAACTGTGAGTCATTAGTAGAAAATTATTTTGAAAGGATGGTTACCTAGATCAGACCAAGCATCATTTAGGTATAGGAAAATCCAAATCAACTATATAACACTATGTTGAACTCTTGCCTCTACATAAGGGGCTAGAAAATCTCTGTAAACAGAACTTCATAGTGAGAAGCTAAACGTTGAGGTTACAGGCAACCACTCCCAAAGCACACAAAAAAATTGTTTTCTGCTGCTCTCTGAATACAAACTGGGACGGAAACAGGTTTGCCTACATGGGATCATAAAAAATTCATCTAAATTCTTGTTAAAAAGATATCATGATAAATAGAAGGTATACAAGATCACTATATTTTGTAAATACTCTAGCTCCTATGAAATGCAAAATATACTGCCACCTGTAACCCTGGATCCCCTGCTAGACCAGGAAGCCAGTCTGCATATCAGTGGGAACTCCCAAGGCGTTATTTTCTTCAGTGCAAAGGAAGGTTGGTAAACAACTTCTTTAAAAGTTCAGCTTTAATGACAAACATTTATTACATCAGTCTCTTCAAAATTAGATGTGAATAAACAATTTCAGACAGGAGGTATCATGATGCCTCTTCAATACACAGTACTCAACGCACTGGGCCCCTGGGGATGACCAGTGATATACACATTGAAGCAATAATGTAAGTCTGTGAGCCACTGTTCCTGAACACTTCCACTCTTCAGTGTCTGCAGAGAAAAACAATACATCAAAATTGCTATGCCACCTTACAGTATTTCCCACAACCAAAGGACATCTCATATACATAGTGACAGTACCCCCATGAATAAATCATCACAGGAATAATCTTGGAAAAGGTGACCTATTAAGTGGGCTTACTCATTTATACACAAGCAGTGAAAATCCATAGTTACACGTGCCCCTGGTTTCTTGTCTGGTTATTCTCTTCCCCCTATGCTAAGAACTGAAGACATTTTTATCAGCACACACCCCACTCCCCAGGCACGCTTAGCATTATTTTAAAGTTTCATGATATTTGCACTAACATCAAGAGAATATAATCCTACAGTGCCAACTGTGACAATTTCTACCCATCTCTTCCTTATGGAGGTGAGCTGATTATTCAAGTTCTGAATAATCTAAATTCTTAACATTTCTTCCTTGTTATTTCTGAATATTCTGCCATCATTCATTATTTCTATGAGGTTACTAGAAACATTCACAACGAGCATCAGTGTTACAAGCAGCTGAAAAGTCTGTATTACACTTATTAATAAACTCCCCAAATACCTACATAAAAATGCCTCTACTCTCCCAAACCTAAACACTACAGGACTCCTAGACTATGGAGCTGCTGCCCCCAAACCAGAGCTGAACACAGTGACCCAACTCTTAGACAAGTCTGAAATTTACAAACTTCCGTCTTCCAACTATTCCAGTGAATCACTCCAACTTCTAAATGACTAGAAATTGACCTGAAGTTTAATGCTGCTAGATAATTTCCTTTGTGATAGTGACGATTTGCTGAACACTTAATGTCAGCTACACTGAAAACCTGACTTGCATGTTCTTATAATGGTCACCTAGAGTTTGCCATCCCTACTTCTACAACTAAGAAAACAGGTTCTCAGAGGTTAAAAAAACTCATTAAACTATCCAAGTCTATCAACAGAAGATGTTTCAGAATCCAGGCAGGATTGACTCTGATGCCTATATTCCTTCCAACTAAGCTGTCTGCCAACTTAAGTTTGAATATTTTATGGCTTTTATTACTGATTCTGGGAGCAAAGACATCCCTATGGGTAGGACAATCAGGTACTAAGTAGCAAAGGAAAACCCCGAGAACCATGACATTAGGCTCAATTCCAGGAGTCAGTCAAGCACAAGAACTGGTCTCCCAAGAGCAGTCTCCAGGCCTCACCATAAATCCCTCCCAGTACTAACAGTACAAAGTCTTTGCTCCGCACTTCTTACCGTGATATTCTTGATGATCTGCTGCACCAAGATGGCATTGGTCAACATATGCGTCCTGAGGGGTGCGTGCTGAAGCAGCAAGCGAAGCAACTGGCCCACAACAAGCAGCTCCTCAGGTCCTGCTCTGTTCACCCGCAGGCTCTGCAACATCAACCTGAGGACTCGAGGCAGGAGAGCCAGGATGGAGATACAGACCCCCCATAGTTTGTCCCTAAAATAATAAAGACAAAAACAAGTCAGTGAACTGACATATTAAGGAAAATGTCCTTTTCAGAAACATGTTTTTTATTTAAACCCCACAAACTCAGAACTGGGTTTGATCAAAACTAAGAAAATTCAATGAAGACTCGGTGGCTCTCCCCTACCTTATGGGTTCCAGAATGCCTAGCAACCATCACTTCCCCAGGCTTAAGACAGCCTTGAGGCCTAGTGATCATACAACAGATTTAGCCAGTGGGTTGAATGATGTGCATATGTGTACTACCTCTGTTCTCTACCACAGAACACTATTCATCAGTATCAAGAATAAGTATATCCCACTGATTTAAAAAAAAAAGGAAAACTTCATGAAACTCAAGGATAAGACCTGGATTCTAAGCCTCTTCAATGTTTTAGAAGAGAGCAGATGTGCTCATGGAAACAAAATGGGTTCAGAAAGTCACCCGTAGGGGACTATTACTGCATGACTGGATCACAAAAGGCCAGAGATGTTAAATCTAAATTTCAGTAAGCCTCATCCTCTTGATATATTTATAGATAAGGAACAAAAATGTTTTGTGATAGAGGTAAGTTTACTTAGGCAAACATTTCAAGAGTGTCAAATGAAGCAATATCCTTTTGTAGGAAGAGTCCACTAGCTACTAAAGGCTTTGACCTTAGTCTGTTACTTTTTGAACCAGGAGTGCATAATTCTCTCAATCCCAACACTTTTGAAGAGAACCTGAATACCTATAAATCTACAAGGAACAGCCCTTTCATCATATGAACAAGCTCCCCCATTCCAGACTGCCAACTGCACCAAAGATAGATAATGAATCCATTCTAAGCCAATGGATACTCTTTGAAGAGAGTTTATTCAGCCTGCAGACTGATGTAGAGTCAGGCTAGAATATAGCCATGTTCAGAAAAAAGAAAGCCAAACTAAAAGCTAATAATGAGACAGGTACAAAGACAATCTAGAAGCATAGAGAAAGCTACTTTCGTTCCCACTAGATTACAAATTACTGATCCCACAATTCTGAGCCTTTGGGTTTTACAAGTTACTCCTATGATGGTGTAATATATTCATTTTCTACTTTGAGTAGATTTCAAATAAATACTGACCAAAACTGTGCTAAAGGACTTATGGATTCTACATCAAACCAAGTATAAGTATAGTAAGTAAAGGGGAAGAAAGAGCTTAGAATTCTACACATCACAATTAAAGGAAATGTTCAAGCAATGAACAATGGGGCAGATAACAGAAATAACACAGTACATCCCAGACTTAAAAAAAAAATAGATTATAAACCAAGAAGGCTCAGATGAATAGATTTATTTTTTACTAACAATGGTCTAGCAGGCAACAGAGTAGTTTCTTCCAATGTATAGTGGCCACCGACCTGAATAACTCAAATTGATCAAGCCTGATTTTTCAGCCAGCACTTGTGAAATCAAAGGCTCTCAGAATCGGACTGGCACTCTCATTATCTGTAATGTCAAGCACCTCTTCTAGTGAGGGAGGAATAGCCCAAAAGGGAATTATAAGTACCTAATATTCTGGCTGTCAACACCACCTTATGCCTAACATCATCCCAAGACATGTGCAGGGTCCCTGTAATACCAACCTCTCCAATGCACAGAATAAAACACTTTTAATAAAACACTATTTTATACAGGCAAACAAATAAAACATACACTGAATTTTGCTCACTATGCTACATAAAGTTAGGCTGTTTTTGTGTAAGAAACTAAAGGATCTTTGAAACTTCCAATAAATGCATTTAAATAAAGGGGCTATATTTCAAGTGACAGGAAATGACAAGTAATAATATATACATTTCACAGCTAGAGATACTATCAAATTTTTAGAACTGACAGGTTTTTTGCTATTTAAAAAAGCATTTTTTTGACCTACTGATCAGACCTAAAATGTTCACAATGAAATGCCGAAGTTATAGTACATTCATATAACAGGATACATGCAGCAGGAGAGGTACTAGACCACGGCCAATCCAGTCACACGGTGGCAGCAATCTTAGGACCTAGAAAGCTAAAATATAGCTCAAGACCTACAAAAGGCTGGCACATCAGGAAAAGACTAAACATTAGATTGTATGAGAAGAAAATCATCAGTTTGTCAGACATGAGTCTGAAACAGCTAGCAGTTTGAGCCTTAAAAGATCTCAGAATTGTGTGCAGTTACCTGGGCAAATGGGTCAGAACCCAGTGATGAGATAGGTAGTAGGAAAGAACCCACCAGTCACAATATTTTCTCTGATGTGGCAGTCAGAGGAAAGAGAAACATGTCCAGTGGGTGATGTCAGTCAAAAGGCAACATGACACAGAATATCAGTATTCCGGCCAGGCCTCAGAGTGATAGCATACCAGTATGTATAAAGGGGGTCTTGAATTTTTGTGGAAGGGTAAGTAGACTATGGGGAATACACTGATAAAAATGACGTGAGGCAACAAGCAACAACAAGCATAGCTGATAACATCACATTTCTGAGTGACCAAGCAAAAGAGAAGGAATAGAACGGATGATTCTTCTTTGGCTGTTGTTTATGGTACAGTCTAATTTTCAAATCATGTATAATATATAGTCTTAATAGCTTCTAAGGATGAGATTAAAATATTTATATATATATATATATGCAAAGAGAAAAGCTAAAATATTTACTGATGACAGAAATTTGTTAACACATGGTACAAACAAAAATTAATGAAATGCAAATTTGAATCAACATGTTTGACTCACAAAAAATATAGCAGAGTCCTCTTGTTTAAAATATGCAAAACAAAATTTTGTAATAAAAGGGCAAGGCAATGATTAATACAAAATGATCTCTTAAGGAGCTAAATAGAAGATCACGTAACTTTGGAGGGTATATGAAAAGTGTGAATGTTGACAATGCTCCAATCCTGAGATTGGGTAAATGGATATTCAGTTTACAATTACTCTTTAAACTACATAAATGTTGTATATAATCAGTATGTATAAATTATGACACTTAAAAAAAGGGCAGATGTTAAAAGGTAATAGAATAGTTTCTTACATATTCTCATCTGTTAGTCTTTTTTAAACTTTCTGCAATGAAATTTTAACAAGCATACCAATATGAATATAAGCATCAGAACACTTTTTTTAAGTTAAAAGTGAACTCTTCCAAGCTATCCCAGAAGCTTTAGTCTGGATACTATATAGGCACCCAAGTACCAACTAATTACAAACACTGGCATCTCAGAACAATTTCCTTAAACCCAAGAATTTAAAATGCCACTCTGGCTAGATCTAATGAAGCCCAAAAGAAAACACAGAGGCTTGTACTAATAAGACCACTTTTCTAAAAGCAGAATTTTTTTCTTTGCTAGAAATAATAGCAGCATTACTAAGCCAAGTTCAAGAAGTGTTATAATGCCCTAACTTATCAAATCTGTAGACAGCTTAAAGGAAGAAACAAAAATTAAGAATTCTCATAATGCAAAGGGGATTGATAACAAAGAAAACCTTCAAGGTTTACACAAACTCAGGAAGAAAATTTTAAATACATTCAAAATCTAAACCTCTTTTACTCTCTTATTTATTGGTGGAGTGTGATGCAACAGTTAAGAAAAAATTGAAAGTTGTAGAATACAAAAAACTATTACCTCTTTCTTAGATGTTCTGCTTCTCCTTTCTCTAAAGTAAGTAGAAAATAAAGAAGACTGTAGCAACAAGATGCCAAAAATGGCAGTAGAGTCTCACTAAGTACACATGTATGATCCAGGAGCTTACAGATAACACCCAAAATACAGCCAGCTGTGCTGTCAGGTATTACAGTCAACCCAACCTAGGCAGAGAAAAATGAGATCAATTACCTCTTTACAATTCCTTCTCACCCAAATAAAACCAAACCCCATTAACCAGATTTAACTTTATACCCCTTCTACTAAATACCAGTATATAATACATGCCACCTGCCACAATTATGGTCCCACTTTCCTTTGAGAATTTAACTCCCAACTTAAATGACTGTGGGAATATGCGGTGCCATCTAAAAATTCCTGGATGTTACAATTTCTACTGCCAGTCAAAAATACCATTATTTAAAAAGATTATTTCATGCATCCAAAGAAAATCTTGCTATCAACAATCACACAATCTTTAGCTCACATTAGAAACCGATATTTGGCACCACCCCCATGCCAGGTAATTAAATGTATAAACCAGACCTATGGATCAGGTCTAAAATGTCTGTTCTTACCAGAGTTCATATTCCAATTGGCCTTCCCCTATCCTTTGATTTAATCATTCAGACGTGACTAAGGAAAATACTTCTATGAAGTCAGTAAGATTATTACCATAGTTAACACTTGACCGCTTCACTGGCCCCAAAACCCAGACAAGTCACTGTGGTATGCTAATTCATTAAGATTCTACTGTGTAAACTGTCATGAGGTAGAGTCTAACTTCCAGCTCTATGTATGCTAGTTAAATCTGGAAACTACTGGTGAGTAATCATAAAAAAAGTCTATAAGCTCTAATGTCTCAACCTCTTTCATCAGGTTCCCTGAAAAAAGTGGCCAAGACTGATTGGCATGTTAACCTTTTCCTAAAATAATGAATGTGATCTTCAAAAGCATAAATATCTAGAGTGGAAGTAAGAAAAAAAGGTGGAAATTTTGAGGCACCTGGGGTAAAGACTGGGAATTAGAGCAAAGGGAGAAAAGAGAGTACCGGGAATTCATAGCAGTACCCTCTTCCAAACCCAGGGAAATAACTTTTCAAAAAAGAAAAAGGGAGGGAATAATAGTATGGATGTGCTTATAAAATTATCTAAACAAGTAAGAGTCCCTAGAAGATAAAATTTGGAAGTTCTCCCTAGCACTAGCACATATAATAAAAACCCAAAGGTCAAAGTATAAACATTGGAGGAAAAATTAAAAGTAACACCCAGGCATACTTAACATGATTTTAATACCAATGCAACTAAGAGGTACCCACAGGCCACCAGCCAAATCTGGCCAGGCTGAGCTCACTGCTTCTGGGCCTTGAGACAGTTAGGTGGCATCCCTACTTTGGACCTTAAACGTTCTAGGTAGAAATTACACCAAGTCTGGATGCTGGATTTTCAAAAACTGACTCCTGGCAAATGTGATTTAAAGCATTACAAGTCAGAGGTATCAGAGTTGTAATTTTAAGGCCCTTCCTTGCACAGCTGTAGAAAATAAAATGCTAAGAAAAAGGGGAACGTTCCCAAGGTCACAAAATTAATTAGTAACAGCCAGGAAAAATAAGATTTCTTAGTTCTCTGCAAGAGGCCATGGAATTATTGGCTTAGAATTCCAGGCATCCCCTCTCTCCTTGTCTAATGGTAAACCCAATCTTAACTAATGAATCTGTGCTTTTTCATGGTTACAGAAAAAAAAAAATATGTATATTTACCAAATGCTTACTGATGGCACTTTGCAGGATGTCAAAGCTCTGGCTTCGGGCAGGGATAACCAGTATACTGTGACAAACTGTCTGTCAGAAAAGGAGAAAACCAGTAACCAAATCAGGATATTTTAGGTCAGAAACAAGTTCAAAAGATTGCTTTTTAAAAAACATAATTGTCCTACATAATAAACACAACAAAAAAATGACTCTCAAGATGCAAATGTCAAAGGTCAATCAAGCTGCATATTGATGAGCTAATTTTCCAAATAATTCATTTATTAAATATTTACTAAACATTGAGCTAGTCCTACTAGATGCTATGCACAAGAATGAGAAACTTCTCTCTTATAGTCCTCTTGTAACTTACCATCTACAAAAGACAAGTTTTTCTATCGAGTGTTACCATAGAAGGATCTGAGTGATGTTAATACCGGGTTAACACTTGGCAGAAAAATGGACCGTAGAAAAATGCTTATGATCCAGAAAATACTAAAAATACCTTATCCAAATTAATTATATTGCCACCTTCCATCCCCCAAAGGTATAAGGAAGAAAATAGTCTCTAGGACAAGAACACAAATATAAGGGACATAAGGGCAGCAGGAAACAAATCCCAAGCATTTTTAATTTTCTAAGTGCTTAAGAAGACAAGAGGCGGGCCTCCCGGGTGGCACAGCGGTTGAGCGCTGGGTTGCAAAGCTGCCCGCAGCCTCTGCAGCGCCGGTTCAATCCCCGGCTGCTCCCCGGCCACTGGAGGAGGGTCCCACATGGTGCTCAGACCTCTCCTGCCTCCCGCTGCTCCCCCTCAGAAGTGTACTTCGGTCCTTCTGCCTGCTCTGCTCCCTGCTCTGGCTTGGTGAATTCTCTCACCCTCCCACGCTTCTGACTGTACCCAGTGCTTGTATAAATAAATAAATAAATGTCAAAAAAAAAAAAAAAAAAAAAAGGAAAGGAGGACATAACACAAAGCGCAGAAGGAGGTAGAATGTAATGCCAAAAATGAAATGTGCAGAAGAGACAGAGACTGTTGGAAAAAATATTCTAGGAAGAAGACAAATTCAAAAGCACTGTTGATCAACTCTCAAAAATCAACAGCTCTATGCATTGTCTCTCTAAAACCTGTAACAGAGTGGTATTACTCAGAGTTTTCATGTGGCAGTTTTCTTATCTGTTGTACCTATCAGTAATAACATAAAAATATTCCAGTGCCATCTTCCTACTCCACAGTGAATACAGTGAATGTTCCCTTTGATAAAAGAAGTCACAATTCAAAAGCCCCATTCAATCATAAATGCCCACTTAATTTCTTCACATACTCAGTAATTCCTTTCTAAAGCCACTAGGTGGGGCCCTAGGTAAGCATCATCAATGGAGTAGATGGGAGAACTGCAGTGACCAGAGCAGTCTATCCATAAATAAACAGGGCCCAACTGCTCCATAAAGTTGGGGCTCAAATGGCATGAGGAAGATGCCTGCAAGGAAAAGTGATGACAGCAAAAGAGTAATTGATCAAGTGAGTAAAAATACTAAGTATAATGAAACTCAGGCTTCTCATTGTCAGAAGAGGCAGTCACAAAAAGAAAAACAACTACAGTAGAATGAACTCTACGGTAAATTCCTAATTTCCCTCCACTGAAGCAATATGGGAGCAACAACATTCAAAAGCAACAATTAACACTTAGAGTGCGAAGTTGGTTTATAAATACTACTCTCCTGGAAGGAAAACAGGGCCTCTTAAATTTTAAGAATTACCTAAATGCCTGGCTGGGACAGGGAAAACGTAGTATGAATCTAGAACAATGCTCAAGGAAAACAAGCATATATCAAAAGAACACAGAAGCCTCAGGATGCCAATGGCAAATAAGAGTATTAAAATTAATAATGATAGTAAGGAATTAAAAATCCATTGAATAAAACAGGAAACCATACTAACACAAAGAAATAAGCTAAGACTAAAAATGGGATATTTGCAGTGTTTCAAATTATGCCCTCAAAAGACGTTAATTACAAAGGTGGAAAAGTGAACAGTGAAGAACCAGGCAGAAGCCACTTAAGTAACCAAAATGAATACTTAATGGAACAGGATGTCATCAGAAAAACCACAGCTATCACTTGTGTCATATTCCTATCAAATTTATATAGCCTGAA